TCCAGAAATGTGATTTGAATATGATTTCAAACCTCATATGAATGTAGCTTAAAATGGATTTGTAAAAATCATATTTTGAGTGATTTATTTTTTTTTCCACACATGCGGTCAGATTCTAAACAGATATGCACAAAAATTGGATTTGGACTGACAGTCTGAACAAGGCTATAGCAGTTTATGCAACAGGCCCCTGATTGATCCATATCACACTGTCTCAAATGGCAATTTTTAATTTCCACACTGCAGCCCCTGCAGAAAATAAAAGGGTAACTTTGATGTAATGATGAATAAGATCACTATAGAAGATCTATTCTGACATATCACCACAAAAGCCCATACTAACTGTTTGTGATATGCAATATCTAATAAAATATGGCTGTTATTAAACTTAATTAAATGTCAAATATTGCTAATTATATGGACCAATGCAAATATATATATATATATATATATATATATATATATATTTAAAGAAATTTATAATTTTATTCAGCAAGGATGATCAGTGGTATTGTTTATATTTATTTTTTACTTCTACGTGGCACAATTCTCAAACTTGATGAAGAGTGAATAAAATGCTGCATTATTTATTTGACTGTGTGTATTTTACAACCTCCTGCATGCCTTGCAAAATAATTTACTGAATAAGTTAAAACTGGTTTTAATTTAAATTGAAAAAGAGGCTTTGTATATTTCTTCAACCTTATGCGTCATATTGTAATAACTTGTATTCATTTTAAAGGGGTCATATTATGCTATTTTAAAGATCATTATTTTGTGTATTTGGTGTAACAGAACATGTTGACATGCTTTAATGTTCAAAAAACACATTATTTTTCAAATACTGTACATTATTGTATGTCCTCTATGCCCCGCCTCACTCATACACGTAGTTTTCAACAAAGCCCCCTCCTTTGACAAGCGCAGTCTGCTCTGATTGGCCAGCTGACCCAGTGCATTGTGATTGGCCGAACACCACAAGCACGTGTCAGAAATGTAACGCCCCTTACCATAATCGCAGCTTCAGCTTTCAAAGTAAATATCAAGACAGTTAATAATGTTGTTAGTTTTACCATCAGTTCAAGCCCTAAAGGGCAACAGAGTTCAAAGGCAGTTCACTCTCCTGTGATGTGACCCTGTTCCCCTCACACACACACACACACGACGCGTTACTCTGCACTGCACAAAACTCCACATTTGAACAGTCATGTAGGATCTAGGTCTCACAACAGACCCACCTACATGATATCTTAACTTTTATAAAGAATATCTCTTTGGATTTGAGACTTTAGTCTTTGCAACTTTGCAGATCTTCTTTATGCACCAACAGCTTGTAACACTCCAAAGAGAAAGGAATACTTTAAATTGCATCATATGACCCATTTAACAGACATTAAATAACACTAAACAAATAAATAAAGCTCAGTGCTGCCCAGTCTTCACTAAAAGTTGCTTGTCTGAAGAACCTTGAAGAGCGACTGCTATTTTTATCTCAACAACTTCTGACTCTGCCCAATCAGATATTGACTAGTATGCCCATGTCAAAAGACCTAACTTCTCAAAAGCACAAATGGATGTTCCCCTTCAGGAACTCGAGCTGCGTCGAGATTCGCTTTGGGAACGCCCCTGCGTGACCGCGTTCTGAAGCACGTGTCCAATCCGTCCAATGAAGCAGCGAGACGTCAGCAGTGGGGTGACGTCAGCACCAGAAAGCATAAAAGGCGCATCCGGCCAGGCGCCACCCAGCTTCTGATCTGTGTATGTGTCTGTCTATTTACTGTTGTCTGTCCGGGAAAAAAAGCACAAGCACTCATATATATATATAAACAATGAAAAAGTCTATGGGGAGCGAACGGCAGTACAAACGCTGTATTCCCCCCTGCCCACGATATCTGACGGCAGGGGATACACACGATTTGTGTGTCGTTTGTTTGGGAGCAGAGCACGCACGGTCAGCTCTCGAGGGGGCTGGTTGTCATGATTGCGAGCTGCTCTCGCTGCGCACGCTCCGCTCTCGCCTGGCCGTGTTCGATGAAAACGGTCAGGCTCGCGATCCCGCTGTAGATCTCCGTCGTCTGAACCGCGCTACCAAACGGCTTCGGTTCAAGATGCTCACGATCAAGCAGATAGTATCTCAAATCCGGTCCGGGGACTGGTTTGTTACGATAGATCTCAAAGATCCCTGCAGGCGCTACTTCATCGAAGCTGGGTGGCGCCTGGCCGGATGCGCCTTTTATGCTTTCTGGTGCTGACGTCACCCCGCTGCTGACGTCTCGCTGCTCCATTGGACGGATTGGACACGTGCTTCAGAACGCGGTCACGCAGGGGCGTTCCCAAAGCGAATCTCGACGCAGCGTCTCGTTCCCTCGGGGAACCATGGTTACATACGTAACCTAGAGACGTTTTTAGTCAAAGTGGGTGGTAGACTTTGAAAGCTGCCTTTATGTCTAGGAGAGTATTTGGGAAGAGGCAGACAGAGGGTGATAATGGATGAAAATTTTCTTCTGACCCCATTCACTCTCCATTTGTGAGTGACACCTGTCTCTCAAAGTGATTGGTGCTGCTGACACATCCATATAACAAGACAAAAGAGGAAGATGAGAGAGAGAAGTATATTGAAGTGCATCAGCATACACAAAAAATGTGAAAGAAAAAAAGATAAGGAGCAAAGATAGGGGTGAGGCTTCAAAGCGTGTTAGAAGTGGAAAGACAGAAATGACAGATTTACTTGCTTCTATTTTGAACATACGCTTTCTTCCTTGTGAGAACACATCCACTGAAAGCAATATCCCGCTTCTAATTCAGTTCAGCTGCAAGAAAGCTTGATTTTCTCAAGCAAAGACTCACAGAAGTATCAATCACGCCCTATCTAGTTTTTCATATTAGCATCATCACAGGAAAAAAAAAGATAAATATATATAGCCACAAGCAACAATCCGAGAACATGGAGAGCATAATAGATCTAATGGATGCTTAAGGACAATTTTCAGAAAACTGGGTAAAATCATCCTTGTAGAAACACTGTGCTTATATGCAGATGTTTATGATGATTGCGCAATCACAATTTAAAATAATAACATCTAAATTTTGATTGGCTCTTAGCAGCCTGATTTTAGGCATATGTTAGCCCCTGCCATGAATAAGATGCATGAAACATCCGCTCAATGAAACGGTTAAGATGGGCTGAATTCATAATAGCATAATACTCTTACTATGCATTTATACGGCAGAAATAGTGGTAGTGCTAGTATGCCAAATTCATACCGAATTACAAGAATAGCACACCAAATTCATATTGTCTACCCTTTATATGGCAGAAAAAGTAAGAGTAGTATGCTAGTGTTATTCGGAAGAGGACTCTTAATTGATATCTCCATATTTTTATATGGCAGAAACAGTAAAAAGTAGGATGCTAGTATGCTAATCGCCTGCTGAATTAATTTCTTCAAATATTTATACACTTTATATAATATTTAAATAAAAAAATGTTTAGAACATTTCTAAAACATTTAAACCATTATGGTAGCATGCTAGTATGCTATTCAGAATAGTATCCAGAATTCACATTTTCTAACTTTCATATGGCAGAAAAAGTGAGAGTATTATGCTAGTATGCTATTAAGAATATCATACTGAATTCATATATGGAGATATGGCAGAAATTTTAATAGTATGCTAGTATGCCAATTTCATACTGGATTCATTTCTTCAAATATTTATATTGTAATAACTTACAGAAGTATGCTATTGAGAGTAGTCTGATAGAAGCTTGAAGGTATGTTATTAGAAATAGCACACTGAATTATTTCCTTTATTAGGCAGAAACAGTAAGAGTAGTATACTGAAATCATATGTTCATATCTTTATATGGCAGAAACAGTACTATGCAAGTATGGTTGCATGAGTGCGTGCAGCTTACACATCTGGAAAGGCACCATCAATGCTGAAAGGTATATCCAAGTTCTAGAACAACATTTGCTCCCATCCAGACGTCGTCTCTTTCAGGGAAGACCTTGCATTTTCCAACATGACAATGCCAGACCACATACTGCATCAATTACAACATGTCTGCGTAGAAGACGGATCCGGGTACTGAAATGGCCAGCTTGCAGTCCAGATCTTTCACCCATAGAAAACATTTGCGACAGAAGATGCGACAAAGAAGACCTAAGACAGTTGAGCAACTAGAAGCCTGTATTAGACAAGAATGGGACAACATTCCTATTCCTAAACTTGAGCAACTTGTCTCCTCAGTCCCCAGACGTCTGCAGACTGTTATAAAAAGAAGAGGGGATGCCACACAGTGGTAAACATGGCCTTGTCCCAACTTTTTTGAGATGTGTTGATGCCATGAAATTTTAAATCAACTTATTTTTCCCTTAAAATGATACATTTTCTCAGTTTAAACATTTGATATGTCATCTATGTTGTATTCTGAATAAAATATTGAAATTTGAAACTTCCACATCATTGCATTCTGTTTTTATTCACAATTTGTACAGTGTCCCAACTTTTTTGGAATCGGGTTTGTAGAACAGCATACTGAATCCTTATCTTTATATGGCAAAAAACAATAAAGGCATTGCGCAATTTGAATAGGATACTGAATTCATCTTCATAAAAGTAAGCATATTATTCGGAATATCATATTGATTTCAGATCTTTATCTTTTCATGGCAGAAAGAGTAATAGTGGTATGCTAGTATGTCAACTGCCTACTGAATTCATATATTCAAATATTTATATTGTACAAAGAGTAAGGGTAGTATGCTATTCAGAACAGCATACTGAAATCTTATCTTTACATGGATGAAATAATACAAGTAGCATGGTATCCGGAATTGTATACGTAATATATAAAAAAATTATTTAAGTATGCTATTCCCAATTCTGGAATTTATTTATTTTTATTTAATGTGCTTGGTCGCCTAAAAAAGCAAAGTAACTCATATGTATCGATTGACTTGAATGTATTGAATCTCAGTATTATAGCTGTTGGTGCAAGGCAAAACTTTATTAAGCTTTTAAAAAGTGTTTTAATTTACCATAGATGGTTCCTCTGTGACTCACACATCCTGCACAGATTATCAGGCACAGCCTGGGCGTTGTTTAATTGGGATTTCAGCGAGAATGAGCCACGGTGTCACACTGAGAGACGGTGTCCAGCTTAAGTCCACTGCTGTCGGAGCACACAGACATGCGATCTGGTGACTGGCACTTGCTGTGCCCACGCGTTTCCCATGCCGTAAAAACCGAAGACGGCGCTAAGAAACAGCAGCCTAGAGATTAGCGTGGCAATTATCTGTGAAGCAATTATCAGCCGACGAGATGAAGACGACTGCTTTCCAAGGTGTTTCTTTGTGTGTTTAATAGCTGTAGAGTAGTTTGATAAATTGTCAGAGCGAGTTTGTGCGATGCTACAATTCACGGCTGACAGATCTGTTTGAGGTCTGATACGGTGAGAACTCAATTAATTAGGAGTTTTTGACTTTTCATTAACCTACTCTGACACTTTCTACAAACTATGCTAAGATTTAAGATGCCACCAAATTAACTAGAAGTGAGGAATCGAGGAACGTGTTGCCGAATTCCTGCCAGCAAAGGAACCAAGAGGGATTCGGTCTTCAACAATAATATCCATGCAGGCAGATGTGTGGGGGGAGAAAAGGCAGATGTGTGGGGGGAGAAATCCAAAATGTTTTCACTTGATGAACATACGTCCTTTGAGACTTCTTTCGGTGTGTGGTCTTTTTATATTAACTGAGTGTGACATGTCATGCTGCATCCAGTCTATTTATACACATCTTCAATGGCAGATTATCTTTAAAGCACTGCAGTTTGACTAACAAAAGCAGATGTGGTTTGGGAAATGATTAGTGATGCACAGTGACACCCAGGTAAGAGCAACACAAAATGAAATTCATTCAGCTCTAAACGAGTCGAACAAATATAAGTGAATGTTTCATCACATGTTGCACATTTTTGGCATCTGTTCTCACACACCTTACACTCTAAACGCCTTAAAGATTTATCTCGCACCCTCAGTTTCTCATAAACACGACACTCGCTCTCTGCTCTGCCAATTCTCACATGCTCTCGCTCTCTGACACTATCTCTCACCTGATTCGTCATCAGACTTGTTCTCGTTCTCGGAGTCGGTGAGGGTGAGAGCTGAGTTCTCCCGGCTGGAGAGGCCAGAGCTGCGGCGGGACTTGATCTCATGGCCGGCCCACAGCTGGATGGCTCGCTCAGGTGAAATCGGGCCCTCTGGGTCGGAGTCTGCGTCTGAGCCGGCGCTCAGAGAGTAGCCGTGCTGTAACAGGCCGATGTCTGGGCAGTATGCATTCTGATGCGGGGCTGGTTCACAAATGCCCAGCTCAGCTAGAGTAAAGTTCCCTAAAGTGGTAAAAACAAAGCACAGTCAGTCAGTCAGCGTTGATGCATATGGAGGGAATGGCCTGAGAGAATTCACTGATGCTGCTGTGATTCATCCTGTGAAGAAATCAAGCCATTTACACACTGCAGATATACTAAACAAGGAAGTTAACCAGCTAAACTAATGAACTAGTTTTACAAAGTGCACACATCCTTTCTAAAAAACCATCACTTGGCAGGACATAAAACACAGTATAGCATGACTGTACAATACTTTATTAGCGACTCGATACTAAAACAAAACACAAATTATGATACCAGACCAGAATTACAGCATTGATATTGATCAAACAACAACACTGACAAGAAAAAGAGAAAACAACTCATTGCTTTCAATTTACTTCTGTTACTTTATTGCATGAGTAATGAGTTACTTAACTGAGACTCACACTTTGTTTTTGGGTCAGTTTGTTCAAATATTAGTATTAGTATTATATTAGTTTTATCATATTAGTTTTTGCTGTGGTATCACAAATTGTGAAATTTCAGTGGTATCGGTATCAATGTCAGTCAATGATCTGCTGCTTTTTCTAGACACAAAGGAGGAGCTGTGAGTACTTTGTACTTTTAACAAATTATTTATACTTTCAAAAGTATATGAATAAATAATAGAAAGTCTGAAATGCATGCATTCAATAAAGCCTAAATGCAGAGCTGTATTATTACAACATATCACAAAATAATGATCACCAATTCATTTACCAAATAATTTAAACTGTCAGCCCAGTCTTTTACACAAGTCTTTTACAATGTTATGTACACAACCTTTGCATCTCTCGGTCTCTCTCTACAGTATACACACACACACACACACACACACTTCAGATAAATATGAGTTTTCCTTGTCACTATATTTTCTCTGGAGGAAACTATTCTTTGTAAAGCTGCTTTGGAACAATACATTATGTACTGTGAAAAGCGCTATACAAATAAATTGAATAGAACTGAATTGAGCATTCAAACTATATTAAGGCAGAGACTCACAAAGCAAAGGGGGGGCAGCAGGAGCCTGAGGTTTAACAGCTCAAATCAGTGGACGTCAGCTCAGACGTCAGGTTATGTGTGGTGCAGGGCTAAGGGGCCTATTTTATCCTGCAGCTCTTTACCTGCTGCGAAATTTCTTTCACAGCATCACACCTCCTACTTTGATGAGTGTGACCGTGCTCATGCACACACAAAACCTCGACTCACCACATTAACAGAGAGCTGGACAGAAGCCCTCCGCTAACCACTACATATAGTGCACATCATCAAAATTAAAGCACATCAAACTGAATCGATAAACACAACGGAGTCCCAATTAAGGACAGGCATGCACAACCAATTTCTTCTCTCCAGTAATTAAAAGAGTCAATGCATGCCCTCCAATCAGCTGTAAATGAAGAAGCAATTTCATTCATTAACACTCCTTAAGACAGGAATCTTCACAGCGGCTGGGATCGATATTGTTAAAATCAAAAGAACTTCATAGTCACTTTATTCCTGACTATGTGGTGAGTGGAGATAAAACACAAACCACTTCTGATAGTAGCTCGAATATAATTATTCTTTTCAAAATGACGTTTTATGCTGTGAGAACTGGCCACATTTACAAACACTAATATAACTACACAGCTACTAAATGACTCTAGATTGTTCTATGCTACTAGTAATGTTACAAACATAACTCGTAGTGCTATCAGTCTAGTCAGACCGTACTGTACCTGACATGAAGTAGCTCAGGAATGGGGAGAGATCCATGTACTCTGCGAGGGCAACAACACAAAACACCATATTTAATACTCAACAATCTTGCATCTAACCTGATACATTTATCACATATAAATGGCATCAGCTTTATGTACTGCACTGCTAACATTTCTTCCAACACCTCACAAACAGGTTTTCCCACTGTACAGTGTTTATTATTGCTTTTCATAAAAGCCCCAAAAAAGATAAAACAGGTTTGTATGAAACAAAAACATTTTTGATGGCAAACCACAAAAAAAAAGTTATTCTAAGGTTTATTTGTGTGTATGTGTAACATTTGTGAGTATGCAGATTAGACTGCGGCATGACAAATATTGTGTTCGTATTTCCATGAACAAATGTACAGGGGCTCAAAAAGGACACTCAAGTCCTAAAATCTATGAATGCAATTATTTTCAATATCAAATAATCAAAGTAGCACTGATATCAAAAGCACATTTTCAAAGCATTTTATCCCACCCACAAAATGAAATACATAGATAACAATTTTTTTTATTAAATTATATATTTGTTTAATTTTGGGGCCACTGTATACACAAATGAGAGAGATATGTATTGTTATGTTGCTGAAATGAACTTTTATCTTATTATCTAAATAAAAACATGCAAATATATCACACAGATACACACATGCATCATGTGAATTCCTACTTGGTGAAATTAATTATAAAAAAAAGAAGGAAAAAATACAACTGAAATATTTTTTTTAAGTTTTAAAATACTGTATAATTATATTATACTTCTGAAGGAGTTTTCAGTCATAATTTATTTCTGTTGTCCATCTTAGAGGCAGTGAAGACATGGAAACACATACAAGCCTAATGTCTGATGGAGATCTGCAGACTGAGAAGAAACTACAAAAATCTTGTTCCCTTCTTATGTTTACAGATTTCTAGTACTGCCAGATGGAAAAATACAATGGCAAACCAAAAGAATGGGCATCTCTTTCTCAAACTGGGAATCATTCCCAGAGTGGGGACTGATCCCAAGAACACACTCAAAGCCTGTCGAAATCACAACTCCCAAAGGAGGTGGTCTTTCACAGAGAGAGGCAGCAAAAACAAACCCACCATTTTCAAGACCTCGTAATATTATCAAAATGTCTCAATTTCAATATGTTCTTTTAAAGTTCTCTAAAATACGACATACGCGTGTGTGTGTGTGTGTGTGTGTGTGTGTGTGTGTGTGTGTGTCTATTTCATTCTCTCTTCTTGAACACTTCAGATGCTCAGATTTTCACATTGGCTGGTGGATGCAGTGCTTTTTACAACATGAGAACTCCTTGTGGGTTATTTACTCAATTACACACTTTTCATTACCTCTGAGAATCTGGACTTTATGTCTCTCATAAGCTCCTCTGATTGGGGATCATGTCTCTTTCTTCATTGCACACACTTCACTTCACCTGTGCTGCCAGTGGCTGCTGTAAGAGCCACCGCGCTCCATATATTCTTGACCTTTGGCTTTCTATTTCCTGTGCTCCTGACATTGGTCCTCAAATAGTAGAACTCAATTCCTACATGTCATGCATTTGCTGAGATTACTAAACTGCTTCCTACAGCTATCAAATTCAGTGGTCTCTAAGGCAGTACAACAATTTGTCCTTGTTCCGTAGTTGTCTAAAACATCACAGTTTTTATAATGAACTACTGTTTACCAGCAACATTTTGGCACTACCTGAAAATATACCATTTACAGATCATGATTTTATGAGCTGTATGGAAAGACAAATGCATAAACTAAATTGTGTAGGCAAGAAATAGAATCTGTACAATCCTCTAGACCAGGAAATTGTTGAACAAATAACCTGCAACTTGTGCACACACCTGTGATGTAGTTTGATTGATGTTTTTAAATATTTTTATGTTTTCAGAATGGTATTTTACAGAATGGTATTACATGGTAAAATAGATGTTAATATGTTTTTCAACCTAACATACATTGTACATAAAATATTATTACAAAAGTTTGGGGTTTGGTCATTTTTTTTGTTTATGACAGTCTCTCATGCTTATCAAGGCTGCATTTATTTGATAAAAAAAATATAGTAAATAATATAATAATAATAATAATAATAATAATAATAATAATAATAATAATAAAATGTAAAATATGTGATGTTAGATGTAATTTATTATTATTTAAATTTAAGATGTAATTTATTCTTATGATGGCAAACCTGAATTTTCATTAATTCATTTATTAGCTGAAAATATTTTTTTGTGGAAACCAATTTTTCATGATTCTTTAATTAATATAAATTAATTCAAATAGAAATCTTCTGTGGCAATATTTTTCTAAATAATAGATACATTTTACATTGACTTATTTTATTTTTTATTTATATATTTTTTATTTTTACTGACCCTAAACTTTTAAACAGTAGTGTGTATGCAGACATTTCACAGTACCACATCCAACTCAGCAACTCCGTGATCAGTACTGATAATGCTAAAATTCTTAATACATACAGTACAGTATGTACATATATTCATAATAAAACTTAAAATACTCTACTTTTTTATCTATAATGTATATACAGTAAGTTAACAGATTATCATAACCGTAAGTTCTTAGATGTTGGCTATTTCAGCTCGATCAGTGCATATGAGGTATAACATATTCTCCCTCTTACATAAATGTACAGTACGCGCATTTTTAAGCTACTTTGGTGAATCTGCCAAGTGAATAAAGATAAATATAAATGCAAATAAATACAGTAAAAACTGGTAGAGAAGGTAGGAGGCAGATCATTGGAGAGCGAGAAAAATGTGATACACTATCACAGTGATTAACAGTGTGTGTGTGTGTGTGTGTGTGCGTGCGTGCGAGCGCACTTCACATATGTACAGCTGAGTAAGAAGCCATCTGTGCAGATCTGAGTTCAGTTGTGGACTGTGTTATTCAAAGACCTGTCAACTCATCTAAAGTAATGGCTCTATCTCTCTATCTATATATCTATCTATTCATCCATCCATTACTTCTCAGAAATTACTTTATGTAACCTTACCAACATCCTTCATCTCAATTCCCATTACATTTAAGGAGCCAAATTATGAAAAAGTTCAGAACTAGTTTCAGCGATTCTTAAGACCACAGGAGAGTTGCGGAGGTTCTTAAAAAAGGGGCTTTTAGAGATGCTAATTTGACATCCAGTGCTCGTATCCAGGCTGGAGGTATGTTTCGGCCTATGTTTTTTGCATTAAAGGGGTCATATGATGCTGCTAAAAAGAACATAATGTTGTGTATTTGGTGTAATGCAATGTGTTTATGCGGTTTAAGGTAAAAAAACACATTATTTTTTACATAATGTACATTATTGTTTCTCCTCTATGCCCCGCCTTTCTGAAACGTGTCGATTTTTACAAAGCTCATCGGTCTGAAAAGTGAGATTGGCCAGCTATCCAGTGCATCGTGATTGGCTGAATACCTCAAGCGTGTGACGGAAATGTTACGTCCCTTACCATACTGTGTTTCCGAGTGTCCCGGTGCGACGAGACAAAACCAATAAAAACCCATTACAAACGAGGAATTTGTTGCATCCAGTGGGGACATAATTACTGATTGTAATGACTTATACTGTGTTTTTACGGGTTGCTTTGTGTATTGTGCCACGTAAACATAAAACCATGTCTGCATTTGTGATCGGAGAAACGGCAAACAACAAGCGCTACTTTACAATGCTCAAAACTCGTGTTTGAATCATCAGTGGCAAATTCTTTAAATATAAAAAACATACTTACAGGCTGCGAGTCAGAAGCGCCAAGACTGTCCTTGCAAAGTTGGAACTGCCCAACTTTATAGAAACAGCCTTTGAGCACAAACGCATTGTATGCTACTCTGCAGGTTCAGGAAACAGTCCTCCATAAAATGTGCTGCACACATCTGAATATTTGGGTTGAACTGTTCTGGAACAGTGTTGTAAATACAACTTAACCACTGATTTCTAGTTGTGTCCTCTTTTGGAAGGCCAAACAAAGTAGTTTCGCTTTCACAACGAAACACACAGCGGCTTGAGTGAGTGGCACCCGGTGGGCTTGAGTGAGGAACGGCCGGCGGACTTGAGAATGGCGTAGCCGGCGGATTCGACGAAGGAGTGTCCGGTGGGCTTGCGGCAACCACATGTGACGACCCCGGGCTGGACTCTGCTTCGTCCACAGTGCAAGCCGATCTGGGGATCCACAGCGCGAACTTGATGTATTTCCTCAGCGACCAGCACGGATCAGCTCCAGGCATGACGAAGCGGATATCGTCCTCTTTTGGAAGGCCAAACAAAGTAGTTTCGCTTTCACAACGAAACACACAGCATCTCCACAACATGGCGGCGGCAGCAACAATACTACAGCGAAAATAAAAGTTACTCCTCCTTTCTTTGCGTGAACATTTGGGCGGTGTTAAGCAAATCTTCTCACATCGTGACGTAGACATGTGGGGGTGTGTTTAAACGAAGCGTTTTATGAGGGCGTGGACAAGTCTTAACTTTTATAAAGAATATCTCTTTGGATTTGAGACTTTAGTCTTTGCAACTTTACAGATCTTCTTTATGCACTAAGAGCTTGTAACACTCCAAAGAGAAAGGAAAAACTGAAAATCACATCATATGACCCCTTTAAAGCCTTTTACAGGTGCCCAAACGCACACTAAGGTAATTTACAGGCCTTACGCACCCCCGAGGACTGACTCAAATCCCATTTTAGGCCCCAAGAGTGGAAACTGTCCTCTGGTCATTATACTTCATCAGACCCATGAAATAAGCATTTTACTTTTCTGAGAGAGGGGGCTGATTGCCCATTTGAGTAATATAAAAAGACCTCCGCTTCAGCAGGGAGAAGGATGTGATTTCTGCGTCTAGATCTGCATGCCTCTCTGTGGTCTCTCTAAAAACCCCCACACCCCACTACTGATGATGGCGGGTAATGGACCTGCTCCAGGGAGCGTCTTTGTGCTGCATGTTTGTTCATGTTCTGTGGGCTGATGATTATCATTGTTACTGAAG